CCAAAACCTAGGAGCTTTGAGTAAAAATAATCATTTTATGATTTCCTCTCATAGTTCTGGAGGAAGACTGGACTCTGCTGGTTGTTCTCACTTGGGGTCTCATGTGGTTGCAGTATGATGTTGGTTGGAGCTGAAGTCATTTAAAGTCTTTCTCACTCAAGCCAGAATAGCTTCACGTGGCTTCTCCAAGTGACCTGGGCTTCCTTGCAGCATGGTGGCTGGGTCCTAAGAGCAGGCATCACAAGAGAATAAGAATAATTCACATTTCGTCACTTCCCTCAGACTCTACAGTTTGAGACAGTTGTACAGGATTACTCAGTTCAAGGAGAGGAGACACAGAAGCCATCACTGGATATAAGGAGTGTCAACATCACCTTGCAAAAATAACATGTAGTTTGGGATACACTGTGGTGACCATCTTGGGAAAATACAGTGCTACACACCCTGCCACTCATCTACAAGAAATGTCATATTTCTCTACTTTTCCAAATCGTGGTTTGCCTCGGTGCACCCCACTGACAAGGGTTGGTGGAAAGTTCAAATTCACCCCTGTTCTTGTCTTCCCTTGGAGTTAACTAGAGCTCTGAGTCTTTGTACAAACCAGAAAATTTGAGTAAAGTCTTTTTCTGTCCAGTGGTTGGTGTTGACAGATTGCCCATGGCCAGAGTATTCAATTAGAAGGCAAGCAGCACTGTTCATTCAGCACCTAACCCGGACTGTGGTGCTGGCCCCAGCCACCTTACATGTATCACTCAGCCATCCTCCCACTGGGAATTCTGTCTGCAAGCTAGCCAAAGGTCTCTGCCACTCAACGGAACTTCTATAAACTTTGTCCATGTGTCCCCAACCTTAAATCCATCTCTGTAGCTTCCTTACTAGTAGCTTTCATTCTTAGTTAGTTTCCATTGCAGAGAACAGAATCTCCTTGATTTGACATAAGGAGAAGATTTGCCATAACCATTAAATGGCTTTTGGAATCCTTGGGAGGGCTGAAGAAACAGATTGGGGGCTGAGTTTTCAGGAA